AATAGCAGAGCCATGGCTTTATGGGACCCTCTGATCAAAAGAATGGAATATAATGTTAGATTCTTGGAAATTCATATTGCATTCATTGGGGAGGGGGGGGGGGGGCAGATTAACTCTCCTTAAATTAGATCTGTCAAATTTACCTTTACATTTTATGTCTATTTTTCATATGCCTTGAGCTATTTCTAAAAAGAATGTATGTATTATGAGAAGATTTCTTTGCGGAGCTTTTGATAATAAAAAGAAATACAATTTGGTGAAGTGGGATAAAGTTTGTACACCGACTTGTGATGGTGGGATGCCGGTAAAAAATATAAGAGCTATGATTAATGCTTTGTTAGCAAAGTGGTGGTGGAGAATTGCGAGTGAAAAAGATCAACTACGGAGGCAAATTCTAGTGGAAAAGTATGGAGAAGGCTTAGAACAAGCTAGGTATTTTGTTGATTTGGAAAGGGATTTTGACTGATAGAGAGTTCTACATCAATAATATGAGATGGAGGGTTGCGAAAGGTAATACTGTTAGATTTTGACAAGGGAAGTGGATCGAGGATATGTCTTTGAAAGAGATGTTTCCAAAATTTTATGCAAAAGTTAACTCTAAAAGTAAAATGGTAGTTATGGGAAAGCTTTCTATGCTTCCCCTAAAGCATAGAAGTTCTATCCTTCCCCTACCATCCAGCCATCCAATTTTAATCAAGAGAGTCACTCACTGTTTGATCCTAGATTTGACGTCTCAAAGTATTTTAGTTTTATTTTTTTTATAAAAATTGTATGAATATGAAATTTAGCATGTGTCATCTTTTCATTGGGGCTCACCTATAAAAAAATATTAAAAATAAATTTACATAAAATATAATGACCAAAATACCCCTTGAATCTTTCAAGGGTATTTTGATCATTTTATTTTATTGAAAATATTTTTTTTATATTTTTTTCTAGTGCGAGTTTAATAGAGAAATGGATGTCCAAAATTTGGTGTCAAAATAGTTTATAGAAAAAAAATTAAAAATAAAATAGTATAGAGACGTGACATTGTGATTGGGGCAATCTTAACACCACATTCAGAATGGACAGTTAGATAAGGTGGAGAATAGAACTTCTATGTTGTAGGAGAAGCAGAGAAAGCTTGCCCCTTAGTTATTGGGAGGGGATTTTCTGCAAAGTGGAATATTTGTATCTCCTATAGAAGAGTCTCCAATGAGGTGTCTGGGGAATTCATTTAGTGTATCAGTCTACTTCAGCAATTTTATTACTGCCCATCTTTGGATGATAAAGTTATATGGGAACTGGAAAGATCTCGAAATTATGAGAAGTCTGCTTATCATTCTATTGTTATGGATAGTATTACATGGTCCGAGAAGCAAGCAGGTAAAATATGGAAATGGCCAGTCCCTCTAAAGGTTAGAGATTTCTTATGGTTGATTAAACTGCGTAGAAACTTACTTTGGATATGTTAAGGAAAAAAGGAGTTACTGTGGTAAATTGTTGTATTATTTGTAAATATAATGAGGAAAATATTGAATATATGTTTATTGGGTGTGCATATGTACAATCTGTCTGGAAATGGGCGATGGAGGAAATTGGTTTTTTTGAGATAGTCCCTACGGATAAGGATGAGTTGTTTGGAGAATGATTGGTAGGAGGTTCGAGTAAGCAAGGTAGAATCAAATGGAAGGTTATGAAAGTAGTTGTTTAATGGGAAGTATGGAAGGAAAAAAATAAACTTTTTGATAGCAAGAGGAAAACAGAGTATTGATTGATAATATTAGAAATGCGGTGGCTGATTGGTTAGCTATTAAAGATGAATGGAGAGGTGTTTCTCGGGTGGATTTGATGAATAATTTATATGTATTTATTAAAGAAAAGACATATAGGAAAAGCAGGATGGGTTTGTGGTCTAAACCAGAGGAAGGGTGGATCAAGTTGAACTTTGATACAAGTTCACTTAGTAATCGTGGTTTAGCAGGGATTGGAGGTATAGTTAGAGATGATAATGGTGTGGTCTTACTCAAGTTCTTTGGTCGTATTGGTAATGCTTATTCCAATGAAGCTGAATTATAGGTTGTTTTGGCTGGTGTTAAACCGGTTAGTAGGTTTGAGAAACCAGTTATAATTAGGGGGATTCATTGAACATTATTTATTGGATAATGGGGAAAGCTGAGTACCCGTGGAGATTTCATAGTTTTATAATTGAATTGTTGGATTGCTGATTGATGGAAAAAGTCTTCTTATTTTGTATTTTTATTCAATTTCAATAATGTATATTATAGTTTAAATTTTAGAGTTTATTTCTAGGGTTTTTAGGATTTCTAGAGTTTTTATTTTTTTATTTACTATTCACAAGTACTATTTATGATATTGTTCATAGTTATTGTTTACAGTTATTGTTCACACATTATTGTTTACATGTTACTATTCACACATTACTATTCATTTGTTACTATTCATTGGGGTATTTTTGGAATTGGTATTGTTTTAGGGGTATTTTAGAGTATTAATGTTTTCTCGGATCTCAAGTTAAATTAGGGTTTCATAGGCTATAAAAGGTTTGATGTTATAGTTTGTGGGGATATGTTATTTGGAATAAATTTTATTTTATGAAAGAAAAAAGTCTTCTTCTCTTTGCTTTATATACATCCATGTTCTTTCTCTCTTCTTGCTGATTTTACTTGTTTAAGATTTAGGAGAACAGTGGATTCAATTTCCCACCTTTTTTTTTTGCATCTAGTGGTATCAAAGTATGGTTTGAGGACGGCTGGAGATTGCAAGAGGAATCTACATAGATAGATCCAAATCGTGAGGTTTTTTATAGAGAATGGCATCAATCAGTGTCCGACTCAAAGTTGGAACGGAATGATGAAGCAACCTTCAACCACCCGTTCTATGCATGCGCTCAGCGTTGGGAGCCTAATGTCCGGAAGAATAAATCATGGGATTTAGTTGATCTTACGTGATTTGAAGGAGGACAAGACTAATCTTGTTGTACGTCGTATCGAAAGTCAAAAGGTTGTGGATTGAGATCTGCCACTAATTTTCGATATACATACTTAAATAATGAACATGATTTTGAAAGAGATCTAATCTCTGATGGTGATCAAGATTTCGTGGGTGGATAGATCTTTGACGAAGAAAAATATGAAGATCTGGAACATTTAAGAGATTTAGGGCATTACAATTAGAGTAGCGCAGTGGAAGTGTGGTCGACTCAAACTTTGTAAATTGTGGCCTTGATTTCAGAAAGTGATCAACTAGATGTTGAGAGAACCTCCAAAGGCTAAAAAATTGAGTATAGAGTATCTTACATGATTTCCAATAGGTGTTCACGAATAATTGAATTTGATAAATTTGCATGGATTCCTCATTATCCATATTAGGACCCATTTCTTGAAGAATTTTTTTACCTTGAATAACATTTGAGCCGACAAAGAAAAAAGTCAAAGAAAGTGGTTTTGATGTTGACTTCATCTTAACACACTTCAAAACTCACTTCAAAACTCGATGACGAGTTTTCTCCAACAAGGGAAAAATGGAGGGCAAAAGTCTTCTTATTTTGTATTTTTATTCAATTACAATGATGTATATTATAGTTTTAGTTTTTTCTAGGGTTTTTATTTTTTTTATTTATATTCACAAGTACTATTTATAGTACTATTCATAGTTACTATTCATTACTAGTGTTCATACATTACTATTCGTGCATTACTGTTCACGAGTTATTGCTCACGTGTTACTGTTCATAGGGGTATTTTTAAAATTTTGATATTATTTTAAAACTATTTTAGAATATTAATATTTACTTGAATCTCAAGTTAAATTAAGATTTTTTGCTCTTTTCTTGCTGATTTTACTTGTTTAAAATTCAAAAGAACGGTGCATTCAATATCCCACCTTTTCTCTCTACATCAATTGCTGTAAGAATTTTATTTGTAGATTTGTTCATGTGTTTAGGGGGGAATGTAATATGGAAGCTGATGGTTTAGCCTAGAATCGGGTGTGTGCTACGGAGTGCATAGTTTTGTAATGGTCGTTGTGGGATTGGGTGAGGTTTGCTTTTGTTTGTTGGGTTTTGTTTTCTGTAACTATTTAGAATCTATTGTAATGCGACTCTGTTTTTTGAATGAAAAGTTGGTGACTGTTTCTTAAAATAAAAAATGACACTAAATTATATAAGTACTAAAATAATATACTAATCAATCATGTGAAATAAAATAATTTTCTAAAAAGTTCCATTCCATCTCATTTTTTGAATCATATTTTGAAATCAATTAGCTGCATTATGCTAATTTCATGGTAAAACAAGCGTTTGTTAGTGTATCCACCAGTATCAGACTGGCTTCTAAGAAATCTCTTTTCACATGCGTTTGTTAGTGTATCCACCAGTATCAGACTGGCTTCTAAGAAATCTCTTTTCACAGGAGTTACTCCTAAGAATTCATATGAGGCATCAATGGGTAGACAGTTTTGTATGCTTATCTCGCTCGCGGTCAATGTACTCTTACCCAAAGGAAGGGATTGAAGCATGGTCAATTTAGATCGGATCCCATAGAACACAACCTAACAACCTACGTTGCTCCTTACAAGTGGGTGAAGCAGGTCTAGAATAGCAGGCACAGAGAGAGCATTAATCCAAAGAACATCTTATTGTAAGATCATATATAGCACCTGTTAAGCAATCCATTTAAAAATTTCAAATCAGATCTAATCCCAATACTAAGGATTGATTGATCATTTCATCATCGTCATCCAATATAATATTGAAAGTCTTAACTAGAAAATAACACCATTACAGCTTGCTGTTGGGAGGAACACCTACAGGCGATGTTCTCGACCTCCTCTCAACAGTCCGTGACAGCTCCCGCACAGCTTCTTTTTCAATATGGCGTGGTTTGCTTAGCCAAAGTCCGCCATCAACAATCATTGTCGTACCATTCACATAATTTCCTTCAGTTGCATAAAGAAAAACAAACAATGAAAATCAACACCATAATATATGCAAAAAATAAAAGTTAACCGGGCCTCTGCTTTAGCTTCGTATATTTTATTGGCAGGTTGCAAGATACTTGTACAAAAGCAAGGAAATGTTCTTTTTCTTGAGAATCGGTTTCTTAGTTTTACATTCAAGGAAAATAAAGATAATATAACAAACTGTAAGTTCATTTACGTACATCACATAGTCACAGTCCTCTCCTCCCTAAGTACCATGATCCATAACTATCCTTGCCACACAATGGGATATTAATGTATTCATTGTAAATATTTCTTCATCCTTATTTATATATTTGCTATTAGGATTTAGAAGTGTGTATATGAATCGCTTTGGGAGGCGTATTATGAGCCCTTAATTTAAGAGATTTATGGTTGAGAATGGCTTCTGGTCTAAGAAGGGTGATGATATTAAATTTCCCTTAACTGGTTCCAAGCCCAGGTAAAGGAGGTGGGTTGTAGGAAAAGAGCTCGTACTTAATTGGTTAGTGCTTGACCATTTGCAACGCTACGTCCTAAGCTCAATTCCAACCAAGGATTGGGGCCCTCTCCCAACTAACCCATCCCCCAAAACAAAATGATGGGGGTTGTGTTAGGTAATCAACTTGCGTAAAACTTTGTCAAAACTTTCCATGAATCCTGAATCTACGGGCCCTCGATAAAGTATAATAGCGAACCAGGATTCGTGTAGCCGAGCCCAAATAATTGAAAAAAGACTCTAATGATGATGATCACGATGATATTTTGAAGTCGTATTGTATGGTCAATTGGTCATGTATGCCTGGATTCATGTTCCAAAAACAGACTTTGAGATTATATACCTTTTTCTAAAGGTCATTTTATCTTCTTCATGATTCTGTAATTGGAAATTGTCATTATTATACAGTAAAATCTCAATGCCTTATTTTATTTACTTCTTAAGCTAGGAAACACACTTTTGGAATTGATAATAGATGCAATGGCTTTCTCAAATTACAAACGACAGGCTGTTATGATACCTTCATCACAACGTAGACTTCTCCTTTGGCCATTCTTGGAAAGAAATAGAGTATCAACAGGGATCCATTTTATAACACAGCTGTATTTAACCAATCGACAGAGTCACATTTTTGCATGATAATGTATGCAACATAATATATACTAAAATGATTCTACAAGCCACAACATCAATTAATGCATCTTTGTTTTACCTCACCAGCTGTGCACTGTACCAAGTGCGCTGGTCCTCGCAACCAACCCCTCCAGGGGTTGCATGATGCCAATGTTTTCTTGTCTGTTGGGTGCAGATTTTCCAAAGCGCTTATGGGCCTGTACTGCTTCCAAGGGTTTGTCACTGCACCTTCAGGCAGTAAGGCAGCCTATTCAATGAATGGGGAAAATTACCGGTTTTCATGTGGTTTTAAAGAGTACTAGGTGTCTCTTTTTTGCAACCATTCCATTCATTTGGATGGAGAGAAATAGGAGAGATTAGGAAGGTCAGGTGCTCTTCATAAGTATCATATTTTGATCCTAACCATCAGTTCGTGGTGGCCAATTACAGACAGCTTTTTGCAATTGCCTCCAGTCTCGTATCCTTTGCCCACATAACACCTTGATTTAGAACATCGAAACTCTTTTGAAAGGTTTTGGGGGTTGAAGATAGCATATGTTTTCATGAAGGGAACACAGTTGCCAGAGTCCAACCACAAAAGGAGCACATTTTCATGAGGTAACTGTTTGGAGAGCTCAACCAGTGAACTTCTCTCTATATTTACCCCTTTTAATGTATCAAAATTAACTTCTTTAAGTGCATCCTAAAGTTGTAAATCTTTCTATTTTATCAGTGAAAGTAAAACGAGCCATAATCGACTACCATATCACATTTTTCGTTCCATTTTTTGAAGATATTCAAGACCTAACAAATCATGTATCAATTGTATCAGACAATATAGAGTGCACACATAAGTTTAGCATATTGCAGTCCCGAAGAAATTGAGATATCATATGGGACATGGTGAGGAGAACCCTCTTCAGCCTCCTTTTTACTAATGTAATAGATGGAGCATGTGTAATTGCTAGCCGATAACTACGATTAATATATCAAATACCATTTTTAATGTATAATCTATGGGAAAACTCTTTGGGTTCATCAAAATCCCATTTGTTATTGCTTTCCCCCATCTTTCCAAAATTCTAAATACCTTCCATGACATCCAATCTCTTGAAAAATATTTCCAACCTTCTATCCCATTCTGGTGGAACTCTGGGTTGCCATTGCCACGTGGTTTCCATATCACCATTGGCACTAAAAGAGAGTATAAAGGGGCGTGCTTTTGTGTTTGGGTCATACGTAAGCTTTTATTCCGAGAAGGGCCCTACTTAAGTGAGTTCCATAAGAAGATGATTCCGCTATATGGTATTTGAAATTTGATGGTACGCTAATCTAAAATTCTGGGATTTCCTTTATAACAATAATTAGAAGTTGAAGCGTTAAACACCTAAAAATATATTTGAATATTAGGTATTCAACTTTTTCTTTTAAAAATTGTTTACAATTGGGTTTTCTTTTCAAAAAATACAAGTTTTAAACAAAGCTCTGATGGGCATGTACCACTTCCAAGGGTTGGTCAGTTCACCTCAAGGCAGTAAGTTAGCCTATTCAATGCATGGGGAAAATTTTTGTGGTTTTCACGTGGTTTTAAAGAGTACTGGTGTCCCTTTTTTGCAGCCATTTCATTAATTTGGATAGAGACTTTAGGAAGGTAAGATGCTCTTCACAAGTGGCAAGCTTTCATCCTAACAATCAGTTTGTGGTGGGCAATTACAGACAGCTTTCTTATATTCTTTGCCACACAAGACCTTGGTTTAGAACATCAAAACTCTTTTCAAAGGTTTTGGGGGTCAAAGATAGCACATGTTTTCATGACGGAAACATAGTTGCCAAAGCCCAGCCACAAAAGGAGCACATTGTCATGAGGGAACTATTTGAAGAGCTCAAGCATTCAACTTTCTCTCTCTATTCTCCCTTTTGATGTATGAAATTAAAGTTCTTTAAGGGCATCTTAACGTTGTAAATCTTTCCATTTTATCAGTGAAATTCAGGTAGGGGGCCTCTTCCTGGCTGACTCACCCAAAAAAAATAAAACAAGCCATAATCTACTACCGCATCACATTTATCTTTCCATATTTTGAAGATAATATTCAAGACCTTACAAATTATGGATCAATAGGTTCAGACCATATAGAGTGCATATACAAGTTAACCATATTGCAGTCTCAAAGAAATTGAGACCTCATACGGGACATGGTGAGGAGAACCCTCTTTAGCCTCCTCTTTACAAATGTGATATATGGAAAATCTATAATTGCTAGCGGATAACTATGATCAATTTATCGGAGACCATATTTTATGGTATAATCTGTGGGAAACTTTGACTCTTTGGGTTCACCAAAATCCTATTTGTTATTTCAAATGCTTTCCCCCATCTCTCCAAAATTCTAAACCTTCTTCTGGCATCCCAATATCTTGAAAATAATTCCAACCCCCATTCCCATTTGGCAGAACTCTTGAGCTACCATTGCCATGTGGTTTCCATATCACCCTTGGCACTAAAAGAGAGTTTAAAGGGGTGTGTATATGTGTTTGAGTGTGTCACATATAAGTTTTTGTTCCTAATAAGGCCCCTACTTAAGTGAGTTCCATAAGAGAGATGATTCCTCTACATGGTATTTGAAATTTTATGGTACCCTCAACTAAAATTCTGGGATTTCCTTGATATATGCTCCTTCTTAGTGATCACAATTATTAGAAGTTAAAGTGTTAAAAGACCTATATTCCTTTCACAGATATATTTGAATTTAAATATTCAATTTTTATTTAAATATTTTCTTCTAAAACTTTCTTACCATTGGGTTTTCTTTTAAAAAATAAGGTTTCTGTCCTAAGGATTTTGCTTCCAGATAATTAATCACCTTTCTCCTATCTGTGTGCAGATGCATCGCAAGGGGTTGATAACCCTCAAAATTTCACTATATCTAAATTCCAAGCATGCAGATTCTTTTCTATCTTGATATGTATATGTTTGTGTGTCTTTCTGCTGATTAGGATGCATCTATACATCTGCAGTGACATTCTCTAGGTGCGTGCCCCAAGAACTTCCACAAACCACTGTTTCCTAGCTCTTGCACATTGTCTTGGTCCCTGGAACTACACCTTTTACAAGCGACTGGCTCTTAGATCTTGCACCCTCTCCTGGTCCTTGTATCTAAGGTCAGAATATCCAGGATTCACCACGACCAGACAGTATGGATCTCTTTGATGATACTACTCAAGAAACCACATGAAAGAAAGATGAATGTAAAAATTCAAAATCTAAGGCGCATTGATGCGAATTAAATCCTGTGCATGCAGATCATTGAGTGATGAAATTAAATATTATTAGTATAGAGATGCAAGACACCAGAACAATACTGACGTAACTCACAAAATTAACCAGGCCAATTCGAAAAACAGAACTTTCAAATGATGATGGGAGGAAAATTAAATATTAAATAACCATTTTGATAGGCAAGAGATAAATTGAATCAGTAGCCTAGCCAATACTGAAAAGTTGGGTCACGATGGAAAGAATTTAATGCATCTCCCTTGAGGAGACCCTTGAGGATAAAAAAAATTTCCTTTTGACCACATGGGAAAGGAGAGAATACCATTGATGTAGAAAATTAGATGAGCGAATGTCATGGACTGAGACATTACAGATTAACGAAAGCAACCTTAGGTGACAGAGAAAACACTTTGGAAGGGGCACAAAGCTTAGCAATGTGTCTTCAGGCTTTACAGACTTCTCACGCTCAACAGGTCAGGGATCTGGCACTTGTGCAATTGTAAAAGAAGAGTTAAAAACGAAATGCCTCATAGCCCACAAAGCAATTAACAAGGCATACCAGAGAAATATACAAAATAGATTTCAGGGAGAATCTCTTGGTAGCAAATCCAATACGACAGTTCATCATGCATACCCTAAAAATTTCAAACAAGACTGATCACATGGAACTTTGTGGTACTTGTAATACAGTGATTCATTGTAAAGAGCACTGTATACACCTCCGGAGTAAAATAGAGAATTGTCAAGAATGCTTCGGCCCATAACCATTGAGAGAGCTTAATGCAAAACGGAAGAGTAAGAAATACTATAGCAACAGCCTCAGCAAGAGTTTGAGAAATATGCCTACCCAAAAGCAGCAGAGTAAAAAGGGGACCATGGTTCTGTTAAACACATTTTTTGATTCAGATGTAAGGACTAGATTTTATCGAAAGTTGGCTTGGAGCAAACAGAGGGAACAAACAAGTATTTAATGCTCCACTCCAATGCTTAAAAGAATTACGATATTTTATCATAATTCAAAATGCTTGAAGTCACATAGACCTACCCAATTAAGATGGTAAAATATCCACTTTCTTATTTTGCAAAGGAAATCCATAAATGCAACTCTTGAACATATAATCAAGCAAGTTTTAGACTTACGAGTCATCCATATGTCGCAAGTCAGTTTAGACCAACAGCAAGGTGGAAAAACCATTAAGAGAGAATGACAATGAGCCAAGTAAAAACAGAGTGATCCATTAGCTGCAATGATTTATAGCTAGAAGTGACAAAGAGCCTGAGACCATTTAATGGAACATCAATGGATAAAGAGCAATTTAATGGAACATCAATGGATAAAGAGCAAATTATGTATGAACACTTTGTGGGGGGTCAATTACCAAATGGGAAGTCATTTGCTCGAAATTATGGGCATCACACCCCTCCCCTTCCCTTCTCATGAAATGTTTTTTTCTAAGTTGCCCTCCTGTCCGGCAATGCAAATACCAAACAGGAAGAGGGCTTTTTCCAAAATAAAAGAACTGTTCGGTATTCGAAATACCGGACACCTTTGACTGTCCTTGGCGATTTCGTGCGCCCTCTGAAGGTCTCTCCTTAGACAATTTCGTTGATGAGCTCTTTAAAGCTTTGGATTCAAATAAAACCAATTTATCACAGAAAATTGGAGTATTCAAATCGATAAGGAGAGCTTTGTGCATCATCAAATGGTTTTCTC